CATATTTCTCCAGCTGGGGAATCCAAGCAGACAGCAAAGACACCATTAGACGGCAAATGTCAGAACAAGGAAACCTGGCTGGAAACAAGGGCGGTCTCTGCATTAAATCATGTCAGCTTCTGAAAGAACCCTGCCGAACACAGGAAAATGAGGGAGAAAGAGAAGAACAGGAGACTGCGTGGATTTGTGGTCCATGCATCGTGTCTTGCTCAAACAGGCTGCGCTACGCTTCTTGGCGCTCCCACCCCCTGCCTCCCTTTGAGGCAGTGGCATCATTAGGATTTTTAGCGTCATCCGTTAGGCGATTTGCTGTGTTTTGTTGGTTTTAATTGGTTTTTAATGATGTATTATTCAATACCGTTGTACACCACCCTGAGCCCTGTCCTTCGGGGGAGGGTGGTTTAAAATTGAATTTAATAAAATAAGTAAGAGCTTAGAAGAGATCAGGAATGTCTACATAGCAGACGGGCGTATCATTTTAAGCCACTGTCAGAACCAAAGAGCGACTGCAACCGCTTCCGCCAGACTGCCTCCTTGGGGGACAACTCTGCTGAGGCACAAGATAACCCCAGGAAACACAACTGTCTCAGCAACTCCCGTAATCTGCTAGAGCACCAAATCCTACAGAATGAACTTAAACTGCAGGGGTCGTGGCACAGTGGAAGACCCTCCGCTTTGCATGCCGAAGGTCCTGGGTTCGATCTCTGGTACCACCACTGAAAAGGATCAGGTAGTAGTAGGTGACGTGAGAGACCTCTGCCTGAGACCCTAGAGCAGGGGTGTCGAACTCATTTGTTATGAGGGCCGGATCTGACATAAATGAGACCTTGTTGGGCCAGGCCATGTGTGTCATAACATGTAATGCCAGATAGCGGAGATATAAACTTTATAAAAGACACAAACACAATGATTTCTTTTTAACTTAAAATAAAAACATGCTCAAAACATTAGCTCCGTAAGCTGCAAGTCTACTTTTGATTTATTGACATTCACCACAGAAATCCCATGCTCAGAGTTCTGAGTCTAGGACCCAGGTTAAAACATGAAATGGCTGAGTGATTAGGAGAGTCTGGCGAAGCAAGCTATGATGCAGCAGCAGAAGAAGAACTGGAAGCAGGAGATGGCCAGTTCCACTGCAGGCCTGACAGAAGCCCTGATCCCAGCCCCCGGGCTGCATGTTTGACACCCCTGCCCTAGAGAGTCACTGCCAGTCTCAGTAGACAACACTGAACTTGATGGACCCAGGGTCTGGTTCACATGTGTTTGTGGGCATTCACGGGCTGTATTCCCAAACAAAATGAGCACATTTCCACCCGTACTCCTCCACAAGCCCCACTTACACATATGAGAGGGCAGTAGTGCCCTCATGAATTTGAGTCGGGCTTGTGCAGAAGAATTCCAGTGGATTATGCTTGGGGAAGGGCTGTTCGTCAGTGGCAGAGCACCTGCTCGATGTGCAGAAGGCCCCAGGTTCAGTCCCCAGCATCTCCAGTTAAAAGGAACCAAGCAGTAGGTGATGTGAAAGACCTCTACACCTGTGACGCTGGAGAGCTGATACCTGTCTGAGTAGACAACAAGACTGACCTTGACGGACCAAGGATCTGATTCAACATAAGGCAGCTTCGTGTGCGTTTGTTCAATCTACCCTACCTAACTTTGCTCCGCAGCAATACCATAAAAGGACGGTTTACAGAATCAGACACAGATTTATTCGAACAACTAATATAGTCCTGAAAGGCCTTTTTTTTATTTTTTTAGCCAGAACTCACATTTAACGTCTTACTGCTTATACCTCAATAACGGCAGCCGGGGCCTGCTCCGTCATGTAATGAATGGCATCCTGGTCCCCCAGCCAGTCCGAGCCTTTCACCGTGTCGTAGAAATGCCACCGCCAGTTATCTTCTTCCATGTTCCCCAGAGCAGCATTGATTCCTCCCTGGAAATTAAAAGCACACGTTGGCCCACCGGCTGCAGTACTGAGCCCTCAGGCCCTCCCTTCCCTTGGACGTAAAGATGGGTACGTCACTGGGAAACATTCCAAATGGCCTGTCGTTCATATCATCAGCAGGTTCCTTCCATTCCCATGGCAGATGTCCGATCCCCTACAGCAGCCACTTGTCAACTGTTGCTCTCAATTAAAAAAAGCTAGCCCATTATTTTTTTAAAATGAAGTTTTACGAAACCAAGTAAATTTAGGCAGGTCACGAGAGGGAGGGCAGGAAGGGATGAGCCAGTGCTTGGCTCTTGGGGATCTTTCTCGCCTGCCCAGGGTCAGGCTGATCCCTACTCTGGGTCCCAGAAGGAATTTCCCTCCAGGCGAGAGTGGCCAGGGATCCTGGAGGTTTTCCCGCCTTCCTCGGGGCACAGGGCAGGGGTCACTGGAGGAGTGGGGGTGGGTGGGGGTGGCTGTGGATTTCCTGCACTGTACAGGGGTTGGACTAGATGACCCTCGAGGTCCCTTCCAGCTCCGTCTCCATGCTTCAAATTAAACAAGCATGTTAAGGGCCAGACAGCCAAAGGAGTTTAGCAACCTCATGAATTTTGTTCCATTGCATCATTTTTATACTTCCAGCAAGCCCAGGAAGGTTATTCTATTATTAATACAAATGTCAGGAGGTTAGCCTTCACAAAAGGGACAACCTTGTGTTACTCAAGCCAGCATGAGGGGCTTATATGGCTGAATGCTCCTTTACTAAGGGGGGGGGGGATTAGCACAAAGAGAAAAGTCGCATGTCAGGAAAAGGTCCTTTCCTCCAACACCTAGCTTTCGGTGCGGAAGGAACTATGTCTAAGTACAACCCAGATGCAAGTTGACTACCTGGAAGAGAATCAGGCTTCAGAATGATAAGTTGCATTTACAATACATTTATTCATATCCTGCTTTCCTCCTCACAGCTGGGACTCAAAACGGCTTTCAGAACATCATTCTCTCCTTCTCCACTTTCTCACAACAACAATCCTGCGGGGTCGGCCAGGCTGAGAGTTTGTGACAGCCCCACGGTCACCCAGCGTGCTTCCACGGCAGAAGTGGGGATTCGAATCGAGGACACTCAAGGTCCTAGTCCACCACTCTATCCACTACACCACACTGGCTCTCAGCAAAATGAAGCCCACCGCAAAATGGATGATTGAAGCCTAGCAAACCAGAATCAGGTCCATGGACAACAATGGCTACTAGCCGAGATGACTGAGGGGAACCTCCACATTCAGAGGCACTAAACCTCTAAATCCCAGAGCCAGGAGGCAGCATCAAGGAAAGGCTTCGGCCTACTTTCCTCTGTTCTTGGCTCTCCAGAGGAAGTAGTTGGCCACTTGGGCGAGACAGGATGCTGGAATGGATGGACCACTGGTCTGATCCAAAACGGAGCTTCTTATTAGGGGAAGGCCTCGGCCTCTATGCCCTGCTGTTGGCTCTCCAAAGGAACTGGTTGCCCACTGTGTGAGACAGGAGGCTAGACTAGATGAACCACTGGTCTGATCTTATGTTCTTAAGTTAGCAATTGGACCTTTGTTCTGTAAGCAGTACCCAACTTCCAAATCCTGAGGGCATTCGGCTCCTTTGGTTCCCAAACAATGACTCTCAGACTGGAAAGCAAAGGTTTCTTACCTGTGCAGCGACAGTATGGGACCTGGTAGGGAAGAGCTTGGTAACACATGCTGTGTTAAAGCCAGCCTCAGACAAGCCAAATGCAGCTCGCAGCCCGGCACCTCCTGCGCCCACCACCACGGCATCAAATTCGTGGTCCACGACGGGATACTGAGTTGAAATCTAGATGAGGAAAATATGGATGAACTCCCACAGCACCTGCAATGCCCCAGAAAATGAAACCTCTAGCACAGACCTTGACATAGGCCTTGGGGAGGGGTTGCGGCTCAGAGGTAAAGCCTCTGCTTGTCCTTGGTTCAATCCCTGGCAGTTCCAGGGAAAAGAAGCAGGCAGTAGGTGATGGGAAAGACTTCTGCCTGAGACCCTGAAGAGCCACTGCCAGTGTGCACAGGCAAGACTGGAGCTTGATGGACCAAGGGTCTGGTTCAGTATAAGGCAGCTTCATGTAGGGGAGGGGATGGGGCTCAGTGGTAGAGCATCTGCTTGCTAGGCAGAAGGGCCCTGGTTCAATTCCCGGCATCTCCAACGAAAAGGACCAGGCAGTAGGTGAGGGGAAAGACCTCAGCCTGAGACCCTGGAGAGCCACTGCCAGCCTGAGTAGGCAAGACTGACCCTGACAAGGCAGCTTCATGCCTGCTCACGTGAGTCCTACGATGCTCCATTCGACACTCAGCTGGAGGGCACCTGACCTTGCCAACTCTGAGCAGCTGGAGGCTTGATCAGTGCCCGATTCAATATACAGCAGCCTCCTGTGTGTTTCTGCGTGAGAGACAGAATTTCGCTTAGCTCTACAACCGAGGCCAAATATTTAGGAGCCGGTCTCATTTCCGTCTTCAGGGTTTTGTACTTTAATGCGCTAAATGCCATGCACCACGATGAAATTTCTAGGCGCTGTGGTGAGCTGGCGGCTGGGATTTGTCGAGCTCTGCTCTGGCAGTTTAACTGGCATGCGTGATTGTTCACGAACACCCAGAAAGCGAGACAAGCCATTCACTGTATTATATTTTTAAAATGAACAAAGTTTTATTCTGGGTATTTCGCGTGTATCCACCCTTCTTCAGATACACATGCACACGAAAGCTTATACCCAGAATGGAACTCGGTTGGTCTTCAGGGTGTCCCTGGACTCAAACTTTGTGCTGCTGCTTCAGACCAACACGGCTACACACCTGAATCTATTTTAAAAAATGAGATATCCCAGGATCTGGTGTCCATCAATGACACCCTCTTAGCAGTGCAAATGTAACCAAGTATTGATTTTTGTCTTTTTATGGAGCACGACAGGACAGAGAAATCGGGACTTACTGAATCCGATACTTTAGCAGATGCACTTTTCTTTCCGTAAACTGTGAAGTGGAACTGACGAGAGAAGGCCTGGCAGGCCGCTGGCCCCGGCTGAAGGAAGATAAAAGGGAGAGATAAACAAAAATGGTCCCACTCGACAAACCCAGAGAAGACGTTTACTACTGTATTTTCAAGGGGGTTAACAATTAAAAGCAGAACATTATACGTCCCATCAAAAAATCCGTTAAAACCCCAAAGAAAACATATATAAAAAAACAGCCTTTTAAAAACACAGGACAAGAAGAAGAGGTAACTGAGGGAACACCAAATGGAACAAAAAGGAGTCTTCACTCATGGGTGGAAGAAAGCGACAGAAGGGGACAGACGAGTACACTGTGGGAGGGAGTTCCATGATTTTGGTGCCACAACCGAGAAGACTCTCTCTTGGGGTTGCCACCTGCCTCAGAAGGCTGGAGTAACCAAAGAAGGGAGTCACATGGCGGTATCATACTGTGTTATACTTATATACAGCCTCCAAAGTACACTCATTCAAGGTTATAGGTAACCCTGAACATGAATTAAATGCATGCTCTTCTGGACTGTCGTGGAATTTGACAGCCTTTCTAGTGAGCATGACTACATAACCGACTGGAACGGCATGGCAGCCAGAAATTCAACAGGTAAAGCTTTCACACACCATCGTCAAGAAAAAGCTTCATGAGGAAAGGGGCAAGACCGACCTTTAGTTGTATTTGTTTTTATTTCAGTTAAAAAATTAGATTTCTGCAGTTCAAAACACCACCACGTTGCCCAGGTAAAATTAATATGCCAGTAATATAATGGCTGCTTTTAAAGTCTGATCTGCAGAATACTGACTCGTGCCCTAAACCAGAAGAGCAGGAATAAAATATATTGCAGTGCATACAACTCCTCACTTTGTGATGTTTGCCATTATGTTTTATTGTATCATTCTATTTGCTCAGATAATTTTAACATAACTTTACTTTTGTTTTACTGCTTAGTATGATTCAACAAGATCCATTACAGTACGGAAAAGAAAACCTTTACCTAGCATACAAACTATTCTAAAACTTTTAATGGGTTTCTTAATTGTTAAAATGCCCAACAATAAGTAGTGGCTAGAATTAATGTCCCGAATTTTCAGGATAAGTTATTAGCTAAAGACGAGTCTTTCCTTTTCTCCCACAGCGCCACTGGATAATGTAAGATTTTTTTAGATTGTAACAGAAGCAGTTGATGGCACATGGCTTCAGCTCATATATGCCTGTGAAACTGATTAGATATATTTGTAACAGGCTTAATTCTCCACTCCTCAGAGATTAGAAAGAAGGTATCAAAATCAGCAAGCAAATGTGAACAAAGGAATCCAATCTTCCTTCTGAACAAAGAAATCCAATTGTTCTTGTCAATACAGGAATCTGATGGAAAGAGTTTCCCATCTCATGCCTACAGATACAGTGAGCTGAACTGAAGGAAACCCAAAGCCAGCCTTCCTTTATTCAGCAAAACAGACCATGGCAGCCTTAGAGTCACTGTGCCGGAAGTTCAGAAACGTTCCTAGCTTACAGATTCGGGTGGGTAACCGTGCTCATCTGAAGCAACAGAACAAAGTTTGAGTCCGGTGGCACCTTGAAGACCGACAAAATTTTATTCTGGGTAGAAGCGTTCATGGGCATGCACACAAAAGCTTATACCCAAATAAAACTTTGTTGGTCTTAAAGGTATTACTACCTTATGAATATCTTTGCTAGCCCATCTGTTGCCCTGACTGGGACAGCCCAGAGTAGCCCGATCCCATCAGATCCTGGAAGCGAAGGAGGTTCTGCCCTAGGTAGTACTTGGGCCGGGTGGGAGACCTACAAATAAGCCCAGGGTCGCTACAGAGAGACAGGCCATGGCAAACCACCTCGGTTTGTCCCTTGCCTTGAAAACCCTACGGGGTCGCCGTAAGTCAGCTACAACTTGACAATACTTCCCACTACCACAGCCTACCTTTCCACAGACGCCCAGCTGTGTCTCAAGCTTCCAGCTAGAACTCGCTGCCAGCCACACTGTTTAGTCCTGGCCCCTGCAAGACCACTGCCAGCTTCCAATACAGTGAGAATGGACCGTAACAACCCTTCCCAGCCAACAGTGAGAGGAGCATCACTGAAATGCCATATCAATCCCTCTCCCCCAATTTAACATGAGTCTCATGAGAGAGTTCCTTCTTCAGGGTAAGACCAACAGACGCTTTCACTCAGCTCAGAAAGCTCCTTCTCGAAAGCCAGTTTGGTGTAGCGGTTAGGAGCAGGGACTCTAATCTGGGAGAACCGGGTTTGATTCCCCACTCCCCCACTTGCAGCTGCTGGTGTGACCTTGGGTGAGTCATAAGTTCCTTCAGAGCTGTTCTCTCAAGGCCAGCTCTCAGGGGAGCTCTCTCAGCCCCACCCAACTCACAGGGTGTTTGCTCTGGGGAGGGGAAGGGAAGGGGACCGTAAGCCGTTCTGAGACGCCTTTGGGTAGTGAATCCAGTCTCTTCTTCTCTTCTTCTTCAGGGTAAGACCAACAGATGCTTCCACTCAGCTAAAAAAGCTCCCTCTCAAAAGTCAGTTTGGTGTAGCGGTTAGGAGCACAGACTCTAATCTGGGAGAACCGGGTTTTATTCCCCACTCCTCCATGTGGAGCTGCTGGTGTGACTTTGGGTCAGAGCTGTTCTTTCAAGGGCAGTTCTCAGGAGAGCTCTCTCAGCCCCACCCAACTCACAGGGTGTTTGCTCTGGGGAGGGGAAGGGAAGGGGACCGTAAGCCGTTCTGAGACGCCTTTGGGTAGTAAAGGGTGGGGTATAAATCCAATCTCTTCTTCTTCTCTTCCTCTTCACGGTAAGACCCAACAGACGCTTCCACTCAGTTCAGAGAGTTCCTTCTTCATGGTAAGACCCAACAGATGCGTCCGCTCAGCTCAGAAAGTTCCACAGCCAACTGTCAACTTGCATCCTTCTCAAGAAGATTCCTGGTTACCACAGCAACCTTCCACAAAGCCTACAGCCCCTTCTGTCAGCACAGACCAAGCTGCAGGACACAAACAGATCTGCTTGTCGGGGTGCTGCAAAGCAGCCTTGGTTACCAATGAGAAAGAACAAGGGGCCCAGGAGAGTTTAGCATCCAGAGATGGAAGGACCTCACAATGGCCTCAGACAGAATCGTTTCAGACCGATGGCCCTGCTGCAGGCCCTCCAGAGGAACTGGCTGGCCCCTGGGTGAGACAGGATGCTAGACTCGGTCTGATCCAGCAGGGCTCTTCTGATATTCTTATGAAGGCCTTGGCCTCTAGGCCCTGTCGTTAGCCCTCCAGAGGAACTGGTTGGCGACTGGGTGAGACGGGACGCTGTACTCGATGACCACTGGTCTGATCCAGCAGGGCTCTTCTGATATTCTTATGAAGGCCTTGGCCTCTAGACCCTGTTGGTGGTCCTCCAGAGGAACTGGCTGGCGACTGGTTGAGACAGGATGCTAGACTCGATGGACCACTGGTCTGATCCAGCAGGGCTCCTAATATTCTTATGAAGGCCTCAACCTCTATGCCCTGTCGTTAGCACTCCAGAAGAAGTGGCTGGCCACTGGGTGAGACAGGATGATGGATTACATGGACCTGTGGTCTGATCCAGCAGGGCTCTTCTGATATTCTTATGAAGGCCTTGGCCTCTAGACCCTGTTGGTGGTCCTCCAGAGGAACTGGCTGGCCCCTGGGTGAGACAGGAGGCTGGACTCGATGGGCCATTAGTCTGTTCCAGCAGAGCTCTTCTGATATTCTTATGCTTGCTGGGTGACCTTGGACCAGTCACACACTCTCAGCCCAACCTACGTCACAGAATTCCCAGTATGCCATATATTGGGGGGGGGGGGGGG